GTACAGAATTGCGATCCAGGCATTGAGAGGCATCGACCTGTGCAACTGACTGGTTTGGCCTTGTGCCAGTCTCTTGTTTGTTTCACTATTGACAAAGATGCGCACTCCTTGGCTTCCTTTGGGTTGAAGAACATTTGTTCCCAAGCTAAGGCTGGAAGGAGTTCAGATCCATGCAGAGTTACGTTTCAAGTCTGCTCACCCTGAAGGACGCTGGCGCAAAATCACGACGAGTTGAGCGCAGCCCAGGCAGAAGCTGATAATCTGCGCCGGGACCTTTGCGCCATGGACGCGGAGCGAGCGGCTTGTCGGCGACAGGAGGAGGAGAGAGCGGCTTGTCGACGACAGGAGGAGGAGAGAGCGGCTTGTCGACGACAGGAGGAGAAGGAGGAGGAGGAGGAGGTCCTGAAATCGCAGTGGGACATGTTGCTGCACTACGGGGCAGACCTGCCCGACTGGGTGCCCAACTGGTTTTGGATTTTCAAGACCAGTTATGACAAGCTGCACGCGGCGAGCAAGGCCAGATTGAAGAATCCCGATTCTTCACAAGCCACAGGCTACTTGCGACTTTGCCTGTATGTCGGGCGATTGTTGCTGCGGGCCATGCAGTCCTCAGGCGCAGGTCAGGACAAGATTGCTCTTGAGACGTCCATTGTGTTGGGTCGGAGCAGAGAGCTTTTGCGCTTGGGCCTTTTCGGCGACAATGTTCTGCCTCGGCCCGTGGACTCATCGTTCCTCACGGACGACAAGCTGGAAGATTTGGAGGCTGCTTTGCTGAGCACAGGCTCGCATGTCTTCGAGTTCAGTGCGGAATGCCCCATCGTCCAATCAGAGGTCCCGAGATTTAGCAAGGCGCACCTCTTGCGTGACAAGTCCGTGAGACTACACCTCGCATGGTGCAACTCAACAGAGGCTGTCGAGGACTTGTGTCGGGGGGTCATGGGTGATCATGTGCGCACGACCGATTGACCGACCGAACGGCCGTGCAACTGACCGACCGACCGACGCAAACAAACAATCAAACCAACAGAAAGAAGAAAGAAAGAGAGAAGGAAAGAAATAGTAAAAGAAGGAAGCAAAGAAACAAAGAGACAAAGAAGCAAAGAAACAGAGAGACAGAGCCAAGAAACAAAGAAACCAAGAAACAAAGAAACAAAGACACAAAGAAACAAAAAAAACAAGCAAAACAAACGAGAACAAACAAATCCGACAAAGAAGCAAAGAAACAAAGAAACAAAGCAAAGAAGCAGGGAAGCAATGAAACAATCAACCAGTCATGGTTAGTTTGTTTCTGCTTGTTTGTTTGCTGGCGTGCTTGCTTGCTTGTTTGTTTTGTGTGTTTGATCTGTTTGCTTGAGTTGTTTTTGTTTTGTTGTGCTTGTTTTTATTCGTTTGCTTTTGTGTGTTGGTTCGTTTGTTTGCTTATTTGTCTGTCTGTTTGTTTGCTTGCTTGCTTGCTTGCCTTGCTTGTTAGTCAGATGGTTTCTTTGTTTCTTCGTTTCTGTGTTCAACATGCCAAGAACGCAGTGGTATGTGTCAGCATGAGCCAACATGGCACGGGGAAATTGGCCCAAGTGTCTGGTGTTTGATTTGAGAACCCCCAGACATGACGTACTGGAACCAAAAGCTGGTAATCCCAGCCCCCCAGCTCCGTGAAACGAAAGAGTGTTACACGAAAGCATGTTTCACGCAGGAGGTGGCTGCGCAGGTGCAGCAGTTGAACCTGACCTCCCTGAGCTTAGGCTTTTTCAGCCATAAGACCTTTACGGACGCCTGGCTTCTGCGACTGGCCAAGGCGGTCCAAGTCATGCCCCTGACTTCTCTGACCTTGAGTTTTGGCAGCAACACAATGTTTAAGGATGCCGGACTGCTGCGGCTGGCGGATTCTTTGCAGGGCAAGCCCCTGACATCTCTGACCTTGGGGTTTGGCGACAATACAATGTTTACGGATGTCGGGATGCAGCAGCTGGCGGAGGCTTTGCACGGCATGCCGCTGACCTCTCTGACCTTGGGTTTTGACAGCAACGCAACGTTTACGGATGCCGGGCTGCTGCGGCTGGCTGAGGCTTTGCGTGGCAGGTCTCTGACGTCTGCGTGGGTGAAATTTCGCGACAACAACAAGTTTACGGATGCCGGGCTGTGGCGGCTGGCGGAGGCTTTGCAGGGCATGCCCCTAACCTCTTTGCTCTTAGGGTTTGACAGCAATACAAAGTTTTCGGATGCCGGGCTGCTGCGGCTGGCGCAGGCATTGCAGGGCCTGCCCCTGAGCTCTCTGTGGGTGAACTGTCGCGACAACAACAAGTTTACGGACGCCGGGCTGCTGCGGCTGACGGAGGCTTTGCAGGGCATGCCCCTGACCTCTTTGATGTTGGGGTTTGACAGCGGTACAACCTTTACGGATGCTGGGCTGCTGCGGCTGGCCGAGGTTTTGCAGGGCAGGTCTCTGACCTCTGTGTGGGTGAAATTTCGCGACAACAACAAGTTTACGGATGCCGGGCTGCTGCGGCTGGCGGAGGCTTTGCAGGGCATGCCCCTGACCTCTCTGACCTTGCAGTTGGGCTTTTACCGCAACACAACATTTACGGATGCCGGGCTGCTGCGGCTGGCGGAGGCTTTGCAGGGCAAGCCCCTGACATCTCTGACCTTGGGGTTTGGCGGCAACACGAGGTTTACGGATGCTGGGCTGCTGCGGCTGGCGGAGGCTTTGCAGGGCATGTGCCTGACCTCTCTGAGCTTGGGTTTTTACCGCAACACAACGTTTACAGATGCCGGGATGCTGCGGCTGGCCGAGGTTTTGCAGGGCATGCCCCTGACCTCTTTGACCTTGGGTTTTTACCATCAGTTTGTGTACACGTATCCGGGGCTGCTTCAGTTGGCTGCAACCCAGGCTGACTTCGCGTGAGTGTTTTTGGCCCGCGGCTTTGCGTTTCACTTTTCTGCAAAGCCATTGGCGCCAAGCATAGATTGTAAACGTTTGTGGCCTGCGTCATGGGTTGAGACAAAGCCTTGCGAGCGCGGCGTGGCACCTAGCACGACCTAGCTGGCTGGGGCCCTGTTAGGTTAGTTGGAAGGAAACTTGTTTGCAGTCAGTACCCCTTCGCAGGTGCTGGGATTTTGGAGGTGCGACTTGAAGCCTTGTTTGATCTTAAACGCTTCACGCTGCCCCGGTATCAGCCGTTTTGGTTGGCTTTGAAGCGCGGTGCTTATGTTCCCTTGAAGTGCCGTGTTTTCTCCCGGACACCCCCCCCCCGAAATGGATGGTTTCCCTTTCAGCTTTCTTGAGGACCACATCAAAAAGGGCACCTGCAACAAGACAGGCGCAGCCACGTCTAGAGAAAACAACAATTCCGTCCTGTAGGCTGCAGAGCTGCCGCTACCGCGTCGGTTGGAGCCTGAGTTTGGGACGTCGGTTTTTCCCAAGCGCGGTGGTGAAACTTGCTGGCCGTGGCCGCGGGTCGACGGGTTTGTTGGGCTTTGATGTGCTTTCAAATATTTGGATATCGACGGATGGTGATGCACTTTGTGGCTGGGCAAGTTTGAGACTTGGCTCGTTTCCAGTTCGGTAGAATCTGGGATATAATCCCATCTGGGGTGGATCCTGAACCGAAAGCGGCCAAGCACGGCGCGCCCGTTTTCCCACCTGACCTGTGGGACTGTTTTGCAAGTGTTGCTTTGCGGTGGGTTTCCGAGAGGTTTGCTGGATGAAAGGTGCCCATCGTTGGCATTCGCATTTGTGGGAAGTTGGGTGGTTTTGAGGCAGCCCCCCCATTGTTGACCCGCACCCCCCCGCGGATTCATGCGGAGTCATTCGGAGTCATCATTCTTAAGTATTAAGTGCGCGAGTAGGGGACTAGCATAGCCCATGCAAATGGGACAAAAAACAGAGGGGCTTGCAACCCGCAGAGAAAGGGGGTTTGTCGAAAGGTTTTTGAGTTCACGGCGCGTGTCGCGTGCAGGTTGCTTCAACTTAGGACATGTGGAGGGCTTCATTCCAAACACATGCGCCTGTTGCTTGCGTATGCCTTTGTAAGCTTGTGAGTCAGCAGATCCGTATTTTTGGCAGGAGCCAGACCAACAGCACTCCTCTCCCTCACCCTCTATAAGTCATGAGCCAAAGGCTGCAGGGTATGGTGGTTCCCCCAAAATGTCATGTTCCCCCCAAAATGGCGGTTCCACCAAAATTTCTGTCTGTTTAAACCTGGTAGAAAGGGCACCCCCAAAATCACACAGCCACACCCATGGGCGCAGAGGTCCTGGGAGCTGCAGGGGTTCACTCGGGTGCCTAGAGAAGACCCGAGCGTGCGTCCCTGCACCTCGATACAATAAATGCTCGCCTGCAGATTAACATGAACCCAAAACCTAGATCTAGAGGAATCTCCTTTTGGGGGAATGATACCTTTTTTGGGCTCCTTCTGTGAAACTTCCAGGAGACTAGTAAGGAATGTGGGAATGACCCTTGACCACCCATTCCACTTGGGTGTTCGTATGGAATGGTTGGAAGGCTCGCTCACATCCGCTGATTGTTCAAATCAAACAATGGCTCACACAAATAAGCATCATGCGCTTGGGAGGTTCATTTCCCGTTAAATTCCTCGAAGCCCCAACCAGAAGTCGTGTAGTCATGGCTGGCCTTTGGCGTGCCCAAATCGCCCTTTAGACGGAAGAGCAACCCAATAGTGCTGTGGCTGGTTGCAAAGTCTGTTTTGCACCACCTTTAAGAAGCCCTGTTTTTTGATTCGACTCCTCGACGTAAATACCAAACAAACAACGTGGTTTCATTCCCATGACCAGCTAAGAAACCCTGGAATGATTCCCCAACGTAGATACCAAACACTGATTTCAGCCATGGCTTCATTCACCGTGGTGCGGGATCTCACGGGATTTCGCGCGCAACCATCCACTGTCTGCTGCTTTTTGGGGCCCCCGCCCTTTTTGGGCTAGCCTTTCGCATCCACGGGGTGGATCTCAGACTCTTTGATCGCCAATGAAAAAACACAAAGCAACAAAAAGGGATGGATCACTCTACCTAGAGTCTCCGTGACCCCTAGAAAAAGGGGTCATCACCCGAATCTTTCCTTTGGGCAATGACCAAACATTTTTTAAGGGTCAAAGGAGATTCTAGGTACCCCGGGTACCCCCCCCTTTTTGGGGCTACTTACCCCCCTTCGCAAAGGGACGGATCACTCTCGAGTTTTTTTCTTCCGCCGGGCGGATGGCCGGGTCAAAGGGGCCTCGGGAACCGAGCGGCGCGGAGCGGCGCGCGGCGCTCGCCGAAGGCCGAACGGCACCTCGAAGCTGCTGAAGCCCTCCTTCTTCGAGCGGCTCCTGGCACGGAAGGCCACGAGAACCGGGGTGGGGTGGAGAACGAAGCCGTCAAACCTGGCTCCAGGGCTGGTTAATTTTGGGTGCCCCTTTTAAAGGTGGGGTTCCTTTGGAATGGTGGGTTTTTCCTTCTTTTGGAACTTTCAAATAATTGGAATATGGTTGGTTTCCTCTTGGCGCCCCTCTACATGGGGGATTCGGCAGTGGCTCCAACTCGTTGCCAGACTTTCGCTTGCCTTTTCGACTTCTTGCCTGTTCGGGTGTCCTTCCTTATCCCTTTTAACCAGCGACACACAGATTCTTCTGCAGGGGGCGTTTTCGTTTTCCAACCCAGAAACGTGGATTGGACTCCAATTGGGGGGGAGGCGTGAGAAAGGTAACGATTTCCTTGTGGTGTCCCAGGGGAACCTTCAAACATGGTAGACACGCCCCTGAGATTTTGTTGCTGGGCAGATTTCCTTCCCTCGGGTGCAGGCGCTCGAACATGTGATCCTTCTGTATCTTGCTTTGCGTTTTTTCGTGTTGCTTGTAGCTCAGGCGCGTTTTCTGTCTCGTTCTCAGTAACGCACGCGTGGATAGATGCCAGGACATGGGAGCTGAGTGCCAGAAATGGCGACCAGCTCGATGGTTGAACATACGGTAGATGGTTGCGAAATCCTCTTAGGCACCACCGTTCAGAAACCCTGGAATGATTCGATTCCCCTGTAGATACCAACAAGCAATGGTTTCAACCATGGTTTCAAAGTGGTGCGAAATGGATTTCGTCCATCCACAGCATGTGTAGGTGCTCTTTGTGGAGTCAACCAGAGCGACTGAAGGGTGGGGGCAGTCATCTCTTCAAACGTGTTGGATGTGGCTGTGGTTGTCAAAACCAATGGGATCCCATTTTGGCTGGTAGGTGAATTCACCACCCATTTTAGAACCTATTTTAGTGGGGATTGGGATGTTCACTGGGGGTACGGAATTTTGACCCATGGCCATATGGCTGTTAACATCGTTATCCCTCACGTTTGTTGAAGGGGCACGCGAACTCACTCGCCCATAGCCGACCTTCTACCCCTGTTTGATCTTGTATTCTTTTGGTTGTAGGTTGCTTGTCCAAGACTTTGGGGGAAGAAGGCAATCTGGGGGAAATTGGCCAAGTTTACAGATGCTTTGGTGCCTAGGAACCCCTTTGGGCAGAGAGAAGAGCGCAACCTTGTGCTTCCAGCTCTTGCTTGCCAGATCGAGCTGCAGACCTTGATGTCTGCAGAAGTGGCGGAAGCACAGCCGGACATCAGGCGGGTGCAGCCGGATCAAGTCGGGGGCCGCGTTGGCCGTGGAAATGTGTTCCCCCCATAAAGTCGACACTGGATTAATCAACCTGGAGGATTTATAGGCGTTGTTCCCGCTAAAAGTGCAGGTTCCTCTACAGCAGGATTTTGTGAACTGGTTTGTCGCAGGACAGGGATCCTCTCTTTTTATGGATGTGAACAGGATACCAAAAGCAAACCTGCCACGTGGAGCTTGAAATCACGTGGGTGACATGTCAGCCCACTCAACGGAAGTTGTTGTTTGGTTGTGCAACTCTCGGTGGATTTCAGCATCCTCCAAGAGGCTTTGACAATCTGGGGCCTGGAACCTTGCACGATCAACCATGAAGCTTTCCTTCATTTGAGTTCCCCTTGTCTAAGATGGGGTGATTTTCCAGATGAAATGCCCTTCCTTTATGGGAGATCGCCTGAACAGCTGCTGATCCGCGCCCCAAGCGGCTCCCCTACTCATCAAACTGGGATCAGTGTGTTCGATGTTGACACCCCAGCTGCAAGTGTCCAGCTTGCTGCCTGTGAGTCCTACCGTAGCACTCCTTGGCCTCTGGGATGGTTGGCTCGACATGCGCAGGATGCCTGCTTTGCGTTGAACACTTGCGGGGGTATAGCTGCCATATCTACTTCTCGTCCGAAGAGTCAAATTCCGTGCAAGTGGAGCAGAGGGCAAAAGACGGATCAAATGGCAGCACAGATCCGCCCAGATGGAACAGTTTGGCCTCAGGCACTTGTGCCTGGAGCATTTGCTCATCATCCGTGATGGCAACTCGGCAGGACTCACGCGGCAGTTGCGACTCGCATGTGTTCCGAGGGCGAGTGGGGGCCCCGTTTACCCGAGGAGGTCTAGTCACGTATGAAGATGACTGTTTCCCCGCAAAGCAAACCGTTTGACGCTTTCCAGGTTGGCAAAGCCCAGTTTTATGGATCCATATGTTCCGTGGCCGAACGGCCTGTTTACTTGGGGGTTGGCAGGCCGTGATCAACATCTCAATAGTGGTTGGAGACAACGAATGTAAAGATTGTAAATAAGAACACATGACCCACGTAAACAGTTTTCAATTTCCTTCTCGGTGCGTCCCATGTCTGGCCGGGTCAGTAGACCTCAGTAGACCTTGCCCATGTAACGGAGAGGTCAAGAGATTTGATAAAAGCATGGTGTGTGCAAAGGAAACGCAAGAGTCTAAAGACAAGCGGAACGCAGAATCTTCGGAGGCCCCGGACGCAAAGCGTCTGAAATCGCAGAGTGCGGCCAATGAGTTGTTTGGAGATGACAATTTGGGCGAGATCTCCTAGACAAGTTTTGCAGGGTGTGTTTGAAAGTGTCGGATGTTAGCAACTGGTTACGAAACTATTTGGAGACGATAACTTGGACGAGAATTCTTGGTGGATTTGACTGGGTGAGGTAAACAGAAAGAGAACATGCGCGAGGAAGCTTTAGCTCGGCTGACTCCATGGACCAATGATTGCAACGATGCTGGAACCGTTCTTTCAGAGATTCCCAGCCGAGAGGTAACGCGATTTCATCGACATCATCCTTGTGTCTCTCACACTTGGGGAAGTAAATCATGGATATGCACATGTGCTAGCTCCTGCATGCCCCGCATGCCGCAAATGATCCACTAGTGCCCACACACATGATGAGAAAACACCTCCCAATATTTTCGACGTATCATTGGTGCTTCATCCCACACCCTGTGCCGTTTTGCCCTGGAGTTGCTGGCGGCTTTTGGACACTTTGTGAATCAAAAGGGTGTGTGCCAGGTTGTCATATTTTTATTTAGCGCTGTGTAGCTAGTATATATATATATATACATACTACATCTGTGGCAATCTGATGTCTATCCCAGTAAAAGAATCATCATCTCGGCAACCACTCCCTGCCAAAGAAGTGCGGCAAGCGCTGAGATGCAGCCGACTTCAACACGGACTCCAAGAGCCATGAGGCATCGACATCGCTCTCGCAGTGTTTCTCAAAATCGGATTCGGACCTATTTCTGCAGGTAGCTGGTATCCCTTTGTTTTCCCTGTAAAACCATCCAAAGAGGGGTACCCTATTTGGAGAAAGCCCCATGCTCGTTGTGTGTGGAGGCAGCTTTGCAACGGATGAGGCTGCTGGCTGCACATTGTTCCAACGATATCAAGTAACTCCCTTTGGCATTCCATTTGGCAAACTACTGCACAGGACGACTGCTTGTCATTTGCAAACGGAACGGAGATGGGCAAGTGCGGTTCTTGTAGTTGCTGCGCAGCATTCCAGCTTCTTTTCTATGTCTCAACAAACTCAGAGTGTGAGAAGCTGAGCATGTCTGAGTGAAGATGAGACACCCCTCATAAATCCTTGACGAACTAATGCGGGATTGCCGGGACGGAGAACACCGCATTGCACAACGCATCCTGAATACTTCTAAGAGGAGCCAGTGCCCTCGTGCCCTCTGCACATGCTCTTCAGGATGTTGCATGCAAGCCAATATGCTTCATCCATCGAAGACAAGCGTGGTTTGTTTTGCATGTTGTCTGGATTGACAGTGCACTCCCAGTGCGAGATAGCAGAGCCCAGCAAATTGACACATGTGTGGATGGTTTTCCTGAGGATCATGCTTGGACGTTAAGTCTTATTTACTACTGGGGATGGACACAGTTCTGCGCTGGTTGCTAGGTGAATTTATCCGAACATGCGTGTAGTGCAGGATATTGTTTATCCACTAGGGGTTGACAAAAGGACCTCCGGATATGCTTGCGCACAAGATGTTGCGCCTTTGAAGCCGCCTTAGATGCTGCATCTTCCAACTCGGCTACAAACATGTTGTGAGCAGGTTCGCTGAGCATCAATCAAGTTGCTGCTTGTGCCTCCCACCGCCTACATAAATGAGCACCCATTCCCAATGAGTGCAACCAGTTTTCAACCAAAAGCCAGTTCTTGTTCTTGCAAAGTGTCGGCTGTTGCCAGGGCCACAGCGGCTTTTTGATGAAGCCGCGTCCTCAGCTGCAACAAACGGCTCGGCTAGAAGAAGGGTCCTTCGCGTTTAAACGTGACTTCAAGGATAGTGCGGGTGTTTCCCAGAAGAAAGGATCTGGTGTTTCACTGACTTCAAAGATATCCAGAGATCAGTTGCGGGAATTTCCGATGGCGAGTAATCAATCGATCTATCGATCAATCGATCAATCGTTCAAGTGATCGATGAATGAATGAATGAATGAATGAATGAATGAATGAATGAATGAATGAATGAATGAATGAATGAATTGAATTGAATTGAATTGAATTGACATGAAATGAAATGAAATGAAATGAAATGAAATGAAATGAATGAATGAAATGAAATGAAATAAAATGAAATGAAATGAAATGAAATGAAATGAATGAATGCATGAATGCATGCATGTATGCATGAATGAATGACAGACTGACTGACTGACTGAATGAATGAATGAATGAATGAAAGGAAGGAAGGAAGGGACGGACGGACGGACGGACGGACGGACGGACGGACGGACGGACGGACGGACGGACGGACGAATCAATCAATCAATCAATCAATCAATCAATCAATCAATCAATCAATCAATCAATCAATCAATCAATCAATCAATCAATCAATCAATCAATCAATCAAGCAATCAATTTGAGTAGTTTTATCAATTAGTGTAGCCCAGGCAGGTCAGGAAACAGCAATGGGCAAAGGTGGCGTTGCCGTTTCGCATCGCCCAGAGGGTTAGACTCTACCGCATCTCTTTGGAGACTGCGAATTAATTGGTTGCCTCCTTTGAACTGATCACCTTTATGAAATGTGTGAAAGAAAAACTGTCCACACATGCATGTTTTAATGCGGGCTCCTTACAAAGAAGTTTGAACTGGTCCTTCCACAACCCTCAAGACTTGCTGCACACCTTAGTTCACCCCATTTATAAAAATAAATTAAGATAAGATGGACAAGTTATTATGACCAAAAAGAACACAATAAAGAAAGAAGGAAAGTGTGAAAGTAAAAGATAAGAACCGAGAGAAGAGAAAGGCATTCCATCTAATTCACTTCCTTCGTTCCTCAGCTTTTAGGAGTTAATATTTATTGTCTGGATTCTCAGAAAGTCCTTCCACAGCTAATAAATCTTCAAGTTGTAACAGCCAATAATCAGGAAGGAAATACAAATAACCAGATATTATTTGGCTTTGTTGTTGGGGTTAAGATCCCTTCCTTTCTTCTTGGTCATAATATCCTTTCCTATCTTTGTCTTTTTTTATATTGCTTTTCCTTGTCTTTTTATTTTATAGAAATCTTATGGTTATTTATCTTTCTAGTCTTTTATTATTTATTTTGTTTGTTCCTGCTGTCAAGGATTTTACTAGGAATTACTATTTTATTGCAAATTATCTCTGGAATCTTCTTAGGTTTACATGTAACATCAGATATTAATTCAGCATATTTTAGTATTTTCTTTTTAATTAGAGAAATATATTATGGATGGTGTTTACGTTATCTTCATTCTAATGGTGCATCATTTGTCTTTCTTTCTATATTTCTACATCTTGGAAGAGCTATATCTTATGATTCCCCCTCAAAGAAGAACGACACGCGCAAACACAGACAACTGGAGAAATCCCGCCAGCGGCGTGCATCCCTTCGTAGCTTGCTTCCACGTCTTCCTTCCCACCTGCTTGAATCGGACCCGCTGCCCTCAGCCGATTCCGAGGATCGACCGGCACCTCCACGAGCTGCTGGCGAAGCGCCTGGAACACGCCGAGGCGAAGCGCCTGGAAGCGTCCCGCCAAGCAAGGCATTTGATTTCTGCGGGTTTTCTTTGGGGCATTTTGCTTGGATGTTAGGACTTTAACTTTTTGCTAGTTAATGGGTTTTCCGTATTAAACCACTCAAAGTTAAACTTTTAGCAGGGGAGCAGAAAGCAACCGAGTTTTAGGGACGCCTTGGATGCACTCCATTGGGGGCCTCCTATTTTTGGGATCGGTCCTATGGTGCCCTGGTTTAACAGCCGGATTTGGGTAGCCATGTGCTTTGTTTGTCCACGAGACTCAACACAGCCCTCAAGAGCATCATTTGGTGCGTGAACTGAGTAAAGTGTCCTTCCCAGTGGAAGCCGATTCTCTTGCACACATCAACATATGTCTAAACCAGGTGAGGCCCATGTTGCCCATGTTCTCATGCGCTTCCGGCACTGGGATGTAAATTCCAGCCGCCACACAAAAGATCTACTGCAGCATTGGTTCATGGTAATTCTGATCAGCTGGAACATTTGTGCTATTCTCTTGAACCCTCGCGGAGGCTCTAAAGATTTGCGGATTTGGTGGGTGACAGTTCCAAGCAGAAACAAGCGTGGCCGCCATTTGATTATTGATATGGCTTAGTCCGGTGTAGACCCCTTTCATGCTTGGTTTTGCTTGTGGCTCAATCCTCGCGCGCAGTCGTTGCCTGAGCAGCAGCGCCAGCAATTGGGTCAGCTGCTGCTGTCAAAGCCTCAGCGTTTCGCAGCCTTGTTCAAACCGCCGCTGTCACAGTTGACTGACTTTCAGTAGATCTGACAAATGTGGATGGACGAAATCCTGCACCACTTTGAAACTATGGGAAGTCATTGTTCGTTGGTATTTACAGAGGGAATCGAATCATGCCCGGGTTTCTTGAGTGGTGCGAAATGGATTTCGTCCATCCACAGGTCAGCTTCTACTTTTTTTGTGGGGAGGGGATGGAATTTGCTCTGACCCTACGTGTGGCGCATTTGGTTCTCTTCCATTCAAGGAAGCTGAGCCATGCAGCACAGTCCCTCAAATATGAAGGGGGTGACCCATTGGTGGTTCCCCACTTTCCCTTGGCAGACGGAGTACTTGGATAACCATTCGCAAGCGGTGATGACAACGACCAGCGATGCTTGTTTACATGGCTTTTTCGGCTAGTTGTTTGCCTCTTATACAAATCACTCACGAAATTGTCCATGAGCCATTGTTACATGCATGAACCATGGCCAAGACAGCCTTCATGTTCCAAGGAGTGCATATATGTATACAATCAGTGGAGTTGTGCCCAGCGTTCATCCGTACTGCTCTTTTTTTCTTTTCAGAGATAGACACTTGTTCACTTTTGGCTCTGGCAGAGACCGCAATCAGTTGACAACATGGGACATGTTTGGCACAACAGTAGCGTCGGCACATGATTAGTAAACCCCCTTGGATTAACAACGCCCAGTTTTCTCAGCGAACTGCCAGATATTGCCTTAAAGGCACCCACAAGGGGGGGGGCCCATTAAAAAGGACATTGTTGATAGTCTACCGTTGCGTATCAGGGGACCAGCCAGTACTCGTACCCAAACAAAAGCAGCAATTTTCCCAAATTGTCCTTTTAGGGCTTTGCTCACAATCCCTCAGAATTGCAAACATTTGCTTAGGTTGGTGCAAGGTGCCACAGCCGTGCTCACCGGCGAGGAACCGGCGAGAGAGCAGCTACTCCATTGGGGGGGGGGGGGGGGTTGGACAGCCTTCGGCCTTCTCTTCTTGATTAGTTGCACCACTAGGCTATCCGGTTGCTTGTGGCTCATGTTGTTGGTTGAAACACTAGGAAGTCCGATTGCTGCTCAGGTTTGAGAATTTCACGGTTTTGCTAGGCAACCAGGCACCCCTGCTGCTTTTGCCAGCCAGTTGGCCCAGCATAGCGTGTGAGGAGGGTTTCACCCTTCAGCAGAGGTTGGGCCCATGTCGAGGAAGGCTCATCATTTACCAGCCTTGATTGCTATTGGGTTGGATCTTAGACTTTCACGTTTGGGAAATCAAGGGTTGTCCATTGAACCCTCGCAGCATACATGGATGTGCACATTTGCCCCATTAAGACGATTTCCCTCCTGTGCACTTCCGTGTTTGGTGGGAGGGCACCAGCTGGCATGGATAAAACCAGACGAAACTCTCGGAATGAGATAAACCTACCTAGTCCATCCACAGCACCAAGGTGTGTGGCTTTTTCAGGTGCCTCTGTTTTTGGGGTTTTGAAGGGAGAGCAAGAGGAAACCACTCACTTGAAGGGTTGCTCTTTGCCTCTTTTTGCGACTGCTGGGTTTTAACCTTGTCCATGTTTTATGTCAAGATTCCAATTGAGGGGTCGTTACAGCCACCAAGGTGTTTTTTTTTTGTGTGTGTGTGTCGTTTTGAGGGTGCCGGGGTTTAAAGAGAGACCACATTATGGTTTCGCCAAACCCTCGCTTCCCTTCCCGCCAGGAACCGGAGGCCAGCACCTTCGCGGTGGAAGGGCCAGGCGCATGGGATCAGCGTGCCCAGTTGTTTCACCCTCGAAGCTTCTCACTACGCGAGTTCCGTTTCGGACGTGATCGTCACCTTTTTTGGGGGTTGGTGGTCATTTTAGCGGTAAACAAAAGGTTTGATTGCCCTTTATTGAATCATCCACTCAGGAAGCGAGAACTGTGTGGTTTCGTTTCCGTCTAGGAAGGACAAGATGAATCTGGACTTGGAGTTGCCACTTTAATGGCCCAGTAGTTCAGTTGGTTCCTCCCTTTAACATCCGGTTTCGTTTGGTGGGCTCACCATCTATGGAACCAATTCCAGAAAGATCTCTGAGTTTTTTTGTGCCCGGCTCCCTTAAAGTAGTTCTCAAAGTTACTGGGGGGACACCCTTTTCACTTATCACTTGTCACTGACCCGTTGTGCTTTCGCCAAAAGCGGCCAGTAGTGTGATGTTTGTTGCAATTCTTTGACATGTTGTTCCAACCAACATATTGCCAGTTGCTGCAAGAAATGCTATCGTATTTGATGGATGATCCAGAATCTAAATTTGGTGCTCGATGTTTGGTTCTGACTGACATCCGCCAACATTGTCTAAGTTTGCAAAATGTGGTTGATGCCCCTTTGTCAATTTCGTGCTCACTGTTGTAAGGGAAACAATATATTTGATGAGCATTCACCGTTTGCAGGCCCCAACAAACACAGGACACATCCATTGGGTTTTACAATGCTTTTTTTCTAGAGCGGTTCGAGGGTTGAGTCTTATGCCTTTCCGCCCACTCACACGCGACCAGAAACGAAACATGGGGAGATAGGCTTCTCTTAGAAAGGGGCTGCCCACGTCAGATCTCATGCAAGTGGAAGAGGTCATGTGAGTTTCTTTTGTTGAGATCGAACTCATGGGCAACCATAACAAGGATCATGTGACCACAGCTAAATGGAAGCCACCCGTTGCAAAGACCACTCTTGTCACTCGCCGAGGTTGTCCCAAGGTAGATTGGTCTCCCTCAGAGCATCAGCCCTGGGCTTAAGAGGTAGACTATGCAAAGCGACTACCGGAACCCAGCTTTTTGGGAGCACACTTTTTTGGGCAGAAATCCAAACGCCATGCAAAAAAGGAGCGCCCCTTTTTTGGCTCTGGAGTGGTTTGGAGCATCTGCGCGCTTCCAGGAGGGTTCTGGAAGGGTTCTGGCAGGGTTGCTGTTGGGGATATCACCTGGGCGTATGTTTAAAGACAAACCACGGCAAATCCATGCAAACTTGCGGCAAAACCCTGCACACCCCGCGCAACCCCCAGCAAATGCATGCACATTGCGGGCAAATCCATGCACACTCTCGGCAAATCCATGCAAACTTGCGGCAAATCCATGCAAACTTCCAGCAACTCCGCACCTTGAAAGGGCCCGCTCCTTCTTCAAATCCTCGCCAGTGCCGCGTTTGCTGCTGCTGCCTTTGCCCTCCTCGTGGCCGCAGCACTCGGCGCTGCTTGTGCACCTGGAGGTGGGGAGACGAGACGCGTGCGGAGCGGTTGGTTGGGCAACAGTCGTGACGACCGGAGCTTCTTAGCTTTTTGTGGGTCCCAGTTTGACGCAGAATCATACATGGCTGCGAATTGTAATTTGAAGCCCCCTTAAGCTTTGCTGATGGACATACTGTGGATGGACGAAATCCATTTCTTGGAAACCATGGTTGAAACCGCTGTTTGTTGGCAGTTACTGGGAAATCATCCTTTCAGGGTTTGCTAGGTGGGGCAGGATTTTGTCCATCCACAATAGATATTCCTTTTTAGGTTAGTTTGGTTAGAAATAGGTGGCACTGGTGTAGATTGGTTGCTTTGCATTTACCAGGGCCATCTATGTTGCCAAAAGGACTCCTATGCTTAGCTGGTTGGTTGGCATCCATGGTTGCAACCCACTTGCCGAGGTTGTAATTTGGTTACCCTGGAGCATTTGGCCCAGACCATCTACGAAGGTTTGGGTGATAAACCTGGGTTGGACGAAACGGGCCTGAGCAAGCATACCTGGGTCCACTTCAATAAAGGACACCAAAGGGAGTTGGTTTAAGCAACAATTGTTTACACAGTTGTGCTTGAAGCCCCATTTTTCGAGCAGCATATTTCTCCAACGGCAGAATTCGACGGGCGGCCATTTGGAACACTGAGGGTGTATGCATCCCCGGAACCCTCCAACAAACCGCCCCGTGCACAGAAGCCTCTCAGACCCGCCCCGTGCATCTCCTTGGCAACGACCCCCATTCCCAAACCTGCTCGAAACCGCCCCATGCATCCCAGGAACCATTTCGGCATTGTGGAGCCGAGTTCATAGCTGCAAGTTTGTTTCACTCCACCGCTTACTCTTTGTCCCTTTGTTCCTGGCCATTAGGATCCCACTATGCACCTCATCCTTGTCCACTAAAGCACCCCTTCCATTTCCCTTCCAAACCTTTTCTGGTGGGACGGTTGGAGCTTGGGTTCTTCCCCCCGATCTGCTGAATCTGTGGCTGACCGCAGGACGCTGTCAGGCCGCCGGCACTGGACCTCGAAGGAGGCTACCTGCCGGAAGCTTAGCGACCCGCCGGCAGACATGGCGCACGCGCTTGGATCGCGTGTGCACGCACGTGGATAGCGCAAGGACTGGGTGCGGGCCAGAAAAGGTTGGGCCTTCCGTACTTTCGGATTTGAAAACATATTTAGCGAATCAAACATGTTTCCCGTGGTCCTTTCTTTTGTTTTGCACAGCAATTATCACATGGGCTTTGTTGCAGTGGACCGCAGTTCAGTTGGGCAATACGCACGATTCATGGTGCTATGTTTGGCTGGAAGGCGGGGCTCTTTTAGAGGCGCAGAACGTCACCAAGGGAATCAATCAGGATCCTTTGGCGAGTCTTTGCCTGGGACAAACTCCAGGCAGACGGAATCCATCGGTCAGCCCTGGCTTTGCCATGTCTGACTTGTGGCCACCAGGGGTCTTTGGCGCTGGCTGGGCCTTCCTGAACGCTTCAGCTTGCATTTCCCTCACAGCCGGTTGTTTGAAAAAGGTCCAACCGACAAGAGGTTTCAGTCGTCCCTCACTCAAGGTACATCATTGCTAGGAGCTGCCATAGGGACTTCATGTTGGTTACTACCGCACAATACCAGCATATGCACAAAAAAAGCAAACACACGGAACATGGACAGATGCCAGTGAATTTCCCAATAAGTTCCGACTGTTCCGACCTGCCGCATTGGGTGAAATAGTTTTCGTAGTATCTGCGGGCTCCGTTAAACCGATGTTTTTGTCGTGAATAAGGACAAACACTCCACAATCTCGTTGGTGCTAGATTCTTCGCTTGGGATGCCAAACCGTTTCCTCAAAACTATACAGCATACGGCCACAAGTCGATAAGACACCCACCGGAGAGTGAAGATCCTGTGGCCGTTGGCTTTGACTGCAAGCATGGATCACCTCCTTGTAACTTACACTACAGCAAGTTCCAAAGGAGATGACCACACAGAAACTGCAACTCTACGTCTCCACCCCTCCACCCCGCCACCAGCACTCCCCCCCAAAGGAATAAGAAGTCAAAGTTTGGCGCGGAGGTCGGCCACCCCGAGCACCGCGCCTTCCAGCAGCAGCAGCTCCCCCAAGGCAAAGGAGGAGAGGAGGTGCCAAATTCGGATGGCTGCAGCGGTGGTTTTTGGGGAGGATTTCTGTGTGTGTGTGTGTGTGTGTGTGCGGAGTGACAGAATGCCCTGTCACCACCCTTTCTATTTCGCAGCAGGGGCGTGCAGCACCTTTGGCATACTGCACGCAATGAAGCTACTGCCAAAGGTGGGAAGGGTGTCCAGACGTGGACACCTGTACCTGCGTCGTGATGTTGCTGAAAGTCCTTTTGGTCCCCTCCCTGAACCGCCGTTGTTTGTGTTTCCCTGTTAAAGTACCTACAGGGAAGCCAAGTGCATTGCGAGCCGAAACTCATCGTACTCGAGACTTGTCGGTTGTACTCGAGACTCATCAGTTGTACTCGAAAGATTAGCACTCTCCATCTGGAGTTCAAGTGTGTACACCCCATTCGTGGGGAATCCTCGGGTGTACCCATTGTGTGACCCCGGGCCGGCTCTGTCGGAAAATTTGACCTCAACGTGCGTATCATAGAACAGCGGAATTTCACATTTAACCAGGAACGAGGTTTCACTAAAGGGAAGACAGCTGTCAGATCATAGCGACGTCTCACCATAGCTGCTGAAGGCTGCTGACTTGAATCGCATTGGCTTGCATTTTGTTGGATTCGTTGCTCTTACCATAGCTGCTGATGGCTGCTGACTTGAACTTGCATTGACCTGCATTTTGTCGGATTCGTTTCTATCACCATTGCTGCTGATGGCCGCTGACTTGAACTTGCATTGACTTGCTACTGATCGCCGCTGACTTGAACTTGCATTGACTTGCATTTTGTCGGATTCGTTTCTCTCAAGGTGGAAGTGTGCAAATTCCGATTTAGTTGCGTCACCATGTCTCGACGTGATGATCGTGACAGATCCAGGACTCGACGCAGACGTGATCGGAGTCCTTCCCCTCAAGCTCGTAAAGCACACCGACGCGAACACAATGACAACCAGGTCTCGGAGAACATGGATTGGAACAACTTGGTTTCATGGCAACACAACTCCGGCTACAACGCTGCCAACAACTTTCCGATGGTGCCTACCAACTTTCAATCGACTCACAACCCCACACAGCAATTCCAATACCCGGCGATCAACTACATGATGCCGATCCCTCCTGAACCCACGCCATCCAAGTTCATGCCACCAATGATGCCACCACCGGTCACTACCTCCCAACCTACACCTACACCTTCACCTGGACCTCCTACAGCTCTACCGGTTCGTCCTCAGAAAGCCTGGCTTACTCCCTCGCCTGACTGGACACCTGCAGACGGCATGTTTGATGTCAACCAACTCTACAACTTTAGCCTGCCCATGACTGTTGCCAACACTCCACATGGCAACCTTCGCGACATGTCAGGCATGGATATTAGGGACGTACGCCTGGTTCAGGTTATCCACGGGGGCCTCACCAACTGGCTACTCAGGCCGTTTGCACACGGCCGATTCGTGACGTGGGAAGGCTTTCGCACTCGCACTGAGGCCTTACTTTGGAGTACATGCTCCAAATTACTACGAAGATCGCAGTCACTCAACCTGCTCACCCTGGAAAAGGACCTTGCCAACACGTTGGGTCTCAACATTGATGACTTCAATCAGCGCATCAAGGTCCACGACCATTTGGCCAACCTGGTACTTCAATTTCTTCAACAACATCACACCTCTCTCGCACCTGCTGCCCAGAATGATGACATGGTCAAGAAGTTCAATGATTTGAATCGTGCGCATGAACTTCTCCAAGCTCAGTATTCCGCATCACTTCGCGCATCGACCTCGCCCACGATGACAAATCAGAAAGATGATGCAGAGTTGGTTACACCGCCACCGGTCAACCACACACCATCCTCGTCACCTGCCAGCTCCCTTCCCACAGCCAGCGCGGCCGCCCTGGATGGCAAGTCGTTTGATAGCGTGGTGCAACCACGGATCATGCAGTCTCTTCACGGAGTGTCGTCACCGCCGTCCAAACCGGCGGCGTCACAGTTGCTCACCATGCACAGCACGCCGGATGAAGTTGTCAAGTACTACACATGGACCAGTGACCAACCTCGCCTTTTCCTCAAGCAATCACCCACAACAACCACTTTGGCGTCGCTGGTTAAGTGGGCCAATCACCCGTCCCGGCTCAACGGCAACAAGTCATTAGATTCTATGGCGACGCAGCTTCTTCAGGCCAGGCAGCGCATGCCGAAGGGCGATGCGCCCACACTCGGTGCAATGGCAGCATTATGGGGTCTTGAACCCGGGTACCTTACCAAACTCACCGAGAAGGCATTGAGTCACCTCATCGTGACCGCTCGCCTGCTTTGTGGATGAGAAGGCATCATTTCGACCTTCGATCTCATATGAGCCCGGAGCGGCAACAATGTCACGGATGAGTCCAGGTGAAAATTCGTCCGTCAAGTGTTTGCGTTGCACATGATTGATCTTGTACTTGCTTGTTCTTGCGTTGCCTCTTGTGTGATTGTCTGAGATGCTTGTATTTATGTCGCCGCCTTGTGGTAGATTTCGTTGGTTGCATCTCACCATGTTGGATGAACTTCGCCACTGCGGAATCTATGATGATGTTGCACAATGGCAGTCGCTGGACGACCTTCTGCACTCGTTGACTACATTCTCGACGTGCTGGCATTACTGTTTCCCTGGACTACCACCACCGTCGATTCCACTTGAGGAGTACGAATCCATCACACAATTGCCGTGGCTGGGTCTCATCCTCGAGGTCTTAGTTGTGGTCCGGATAGCCCTCCAGATTCCGAATTGCGCCATGTCCAACTCTCAGCACACCGTGGCCAACAGGTATGAACTTCACAGATGTCGGTGCGCTGCCTATTTATTGATCAGTTTCTTACAACGTCTCATTTCACAGGATCACGGCTACCTCCCGCCGTTCTTCGAAGTCCTTCACTTCTACAAGACTTCTCTCTTGTGTGAAATCATGCACTCGACTTTCGCTGACTCGCGACATCTACGCTCATTGCGGGCGCGATTTCCTGACCTCTACGACTTCATACATGATCCAGGTCATCACCAACAACCGTGCGTCTACATTCGACTTTCCCCATGGCACACACCATACTATGTTGGGGCGACTGATCAGGATGTTCTACGTCGTGAACACTCACGCAGTCGCAAATTTCTACAACTACTTCGTGGACGGCATGCCTTCTTTGAACCAGCGCTTCACTACTGGAAACGATCCAATACTTACTGGCTCTTCTGTGCTGTACCAGTGGAAATCAGACTTCCAGTTTCCTCGGTGTGGGTTCAAGAAAGCAAATGGCAATACCTGCTACGCCCGCATTTGAATGCGCCCTGGGTACACAGAATCTTGCGCAAGGTTGGCTTCCGGGAACATCTTGTAGATTTTCGACGCCACTCGTTGTCGACGCCCACTTCCATCGGCTTGCACAAGCGCTTTCGACGACGACTACATCCGGATCTCCAACGGCAACTACGACCTGACACCCTGGATGACATTCAAGCCCACTACTCGATCCTCTATCAGCTGGGATCGAATACAGGAGCGTCGTTCCAAGTCATGCGTGACCTACTGTCAGCCGCTTTCCCTCCCACTCAGCTGTACTACTTATTGCGGCTCGCAGTATTTGTCAACGAACCCTTCCGCTCCAAGGCCCAGAAGCTACTCGCCCAGGTACTGCGCAAACGACGGCTGCAACCACCCTCCACTCTGACACAGCTACTTTTGCCGCCGCTGCATGTCCAAAATTGGAAAGCGCTACTTGGCACATGGTTACAAAACTGGATTGCTTCCCATCGGGATCTGTTCCCTTCTCTTTTCATTCCAAAGATCCGGGTTGTGGAAACCCGCAGCGCCACATTGGGCGACAAGATATACAACTATCGCACATGGCAGCGTAAATGGACGCCTGACACATCCTTTCCGTGTCGCTGTTTAGACATCGATGACCACCATCTACTCCGTGCACATGGTCACGCAGTAATGGTGGATGACTTTTCTCGCATCAATGCGGACATCAACGTGGAGATCATGGCCGCCTCAATGAAGGATCAGTTTTTCGGTGATGTCGACCTATTGCATCAACGTTACACCACGCAACTTCGCAAACTCGCTCGACGCTGGCATGTACATGGTTCCGATCTACTTCCAGATCTACAACCTGTCGTGGCTCAGTTAATGGAGACCCATCGGATCAACCTCCAAGATCAGGCTTATTGGTCATCGGCATCGTTGCAACGCACTGTGGCCTCTTTGTCTTCTTGGGTAGTTATCCCAGCGGATCATTTTCCCTCCCGTGCACATGTAGTGTGCCCGTCCCTGTTTGCCATATTGATGCGGAAGACATTCTGCGCGGGGGATGTTTTCTCACTTTGCCGCGAATCCGCAGCATCGTTTCGCTCTGAAGTGGTAACCACGGTACCTTCTCTCCTACGTCAACGATACGCATGGGGACTTCGACTTCAAGCACCGTTGCCCACAGCGCGCATCCTTCCAAAGCCGACCAAGGACTGGCAGAAAGCTCGACCCATCATTTCATTCTTTCGCACATGGGCGGCTCCCTTCCTCACGGTCTTCGGTGCGCTCATATTTGAACTCACCAAGGCAGCTTTCCCCGACATTGCAGGTCAACTTTCAGTACAAGAACTTATCCAGCAGCTATGGGAAGCACTGTCAAAAGCAGATCCTGATGAGTACATCCACCTGGTATCGCAAGACTTGTCAGGCTTCTTCACGTCCATTCCTACGGAACGTTTCCATCAGGCGCTTCAAGTGCTTCTACATCGCTATGATCAAGTTGTTGGCCTTCACGGTTCCTCGCAATGGTCCGTGTACGAAGTCAAGTCAGATCATCGACGCCGTATGTTCAAAGGAAAGTGGCGCCGTCAGACCAAGATCCCTCGAATTTTTCGTGAACAAGATCTCCGGCACCTTCTGGACTTTGTCATTGACAACAGTCACTTCGAGATCAACGGATACTTGTTCCGCCAAGAACGAGGAGTTGCTATGGGATCAC